TGATGAGTTAAAATGACGTATGTCAATATATTGTACATTACCTACTTTATCGACCATAGACACAAAAAGAGCTGCACCAAAAAAAAAACTGTTTTTTTTTGTAGGCCTGTGTTATAGTTTTGACATATCGTTCTAGAACTGTGTGTTACACATATGACTAAGTTCAGCCCACACGAACGCCTACCGCGCCATAAAATATACATAATAATATCATTATATTGCCAAAACTTGTTCAGGATTAAGCAAAGGACGCAGTTATGCAAGATGAAACAGTGCCTTAAAATATATAATATTAAAATCATTATTTAATGAAAGTGATAACTTTATGTAATATCTTTTTGCAATGTTTGATAATTCAAGAAGCTAGTTTATCTGCTGATGGTTTCTGATGCATTGTAGTCACGAAAATAACAAGTTTTATGTCAATTCGTATTCCACCCGTTTCAAGGTATGCAACAAGCCAATGATATTGTACTATCTGTGAAGTTCAGTGACCTGTCAGCAACAGAAGTACCACTGCGTGTTAAACCAATAAAATATAAAGAAGTAATTAAATATTTGGCAATTCTAAAAATTTATGAGCCACAAAAAAACAACATTGAAATAATTTGGCCGGCATACAAACATTTTGTTTACATTAAAAAAAATCAGGCAGCAATCCTTGTATAAATTGCTGACTGACTTTGGAATGTTTGCAGGCTATGAGTTGCTGATCAATTAGCTATTTCTGCTCACAGATTATATTTTTCTGCTCACAAAAATTCGAATACTATGCTAACCATTTAAATAACACCCTAAAATATATTACCAGAATTCATAGATTCTACAACGTCGATACTGACACGTACTTTGGCACTTCAAATCGAAAATATGTATTGGCATATTGATATACTATAATTCAGTGAGGATCAGTTTGAAGAAGATCATTCTAAATTACTCCAAATATATTTTTAGGCAAACGTATCCTAGCCATTTTGTAAATTTGAAATGCTTCAAATATATGTAGGTTCCTTTGCTAACGAAGAAAACGAAAACATACAATAAAATAATACAACACAATACTAATTAATGTATTAAGTGCATTGCTAATAATTAGCTATTAATTTAATTCAAATTTACGACTACTACAAAGCACATGATAAAAATTATAGATCATTAAACAACATGAATTTGCCGTAAAACAATTGCACAATACTGCATAATAGCAACCGACTGGCTTAAAACTTTACAATGCCAACAAGTTTCTGTTTATAAGAAGGACCGCTTACGCTAACAAGTTCACGGTGACATCATAATGCAAGAAAGAACCAGGCCATTCAGATTTAATTTTGGATACCTTTAAGTTCAGTACAGAAAGTCGGTCTTAAATCATTAAAAATATCGTCGTAAATATCGTAATAAGCTCGTCCACCCATCTAAGCAATAAAAAAAAATGTGAGATACGTTTACGAGTCGGTACGCCTTTTCAGAATTGATCCGATTTACGTAGGCTGTATGTTCCGGTGTCCGTTTCAAATGAATTAAAAAAAAAACATGGTGAATGCTTTCGTCTACCTTAAGACACGGTCGTTATTGGAATTAAACAACCAATGAAACCTTGAATCAGGAACGATTTTTAAGACAATCGCATTGCTAATTTTACAATCAATCACTTTATCAACTTGCCGAACTTCTACTTGACGCGGTACGTCCTTCTTAACAAGCTTTTATTAGCTTGGCATATTATATGTTTTTAGAACTTATATCTCAAGGTGGGTGGCGCATTTACGTTATGGACGTCTATGGGCTCCAGTAACCACTTCACACCAGGTGGGCTGTGTGCTCGTCCACCCATTTAAGCAATAAAAAACAAGATGTAACGGAATCTTTGAACGACATTTTCATCGACTTCAAGACTTCGAATTAACTTGAACATTTGCAAACGCTTCACGGACCGATGACAATGCAATAAATTAATAACTTCGTACTCTAATACTCTAGTCAGTATCAAAAACTATGAAACTAGTTGTTAGTTGATTTGGGCATTTAAGCGGTTTTTTCTTATCCGGCCGCGATGGAGCAACGCAAAGCCGCCATGGCCCGCAACATTTGTGTGGACGAGCTCACAGCCCACCTGATGTTAAGTGGTTACTGGAGCCCATAGACATCTCCAACTTAAATGCGCCACACACCTTGAGATATAAGTTCTAAGGTCTCAGTATAGTTACAACGGCTGCCCCACCTTTCAAACCGAAACGCATTACTGCTTCACGGCAGAAATAGGCGGGGTGGTGGTACCTACCCGTGCGGACTCACAAGAGGTCCTACCACCACTACCACATGTCTTGTCGGATCCCCCAGATTCACTCTCGGTGCTTTAAAATCTCTCAAGCACCGGTCACCGTCCTCGTCGAACTCGTCGATGACGACGAAGAGTTTTTCTTCGACGAGCGAACTAACCCATAGACACAGCCCACTGAGTTTCTCGCTGGATGCTCTCAGTGGGTCGCGATTTCGATACAGTGGTAGATTCTGCGAAGCACCGTTCTTGCTAGGGCTAGTGTTAGCAAATTCTGTCAGGTAGAGCGCCGTGAGCGAATAGGTAGGGAAAAATAGCAAAAAAAAAGCTGTTTTTTTTTTAGTTTTTAAACTACAAATGTATATATGATTTTTAATAACACATACTACATATCGAGAGGTGAAAGGCTATTTACCTTAAACAAAATTTTTACAACGCCACAGAAGAACCATTTAAAGTTTAAAATTTAGATAAAATATCATAACAAAAAAAACTTCTTTAGCTATTTAAATTCAGTAAACGTAATTGAAGTTCAATTTAACAACATCGACCTGTTGATGCTAAATACAAAACCAAATAAAACGCACCTTTAATTATAAAGATAAATGTCGCGTATTAAGAGAAATGTCGCTTCACCCAAAATATATCCCCTTCGATATATTAAGCATCTTAATGGGAAAGCCTTTATTTACCTAGTTCCGCACCTATATTTACATCGGTACTTCTCTACCTGATTAGTCTTATTAATAGATTAGATCTAGATACTGTGAAATGTTCAAGACTGCAGACTGGCGCATGGCGTGACCTGAGTGACGTCACGGTACTCGACCACGTGTGCGGTCATTGAACCCCGCACAATGACTACACATAAAAGCCTTATAAAGCATCTGAGTCATGTTCGTTCGAAAATCGCTGGATATTTTTAGTTATATTTTAAAAGCGGGCTAGGTACGTTGGAGGTTTGACACATAAAGAGAATGTGCATGATTGGCAATTTGCTGTCAAACTATAGACAAACTAGCTGTACCCGTCCGCTTCGCTGGGCATTTAAAATTAGCATTATTATTTCTCACCCCCACAAAGATTCTCATCATTAACGCCCCCGCAACTGGTGTAGAAAGTCCAACACTCATATAAATATTAGCCTATCCATTAAGTACATGTATTTTCTACATGGTTACCAAGTTTCAAGTCAATCGGATGCACGGTTCAGTAGTTATAACGGAACATCCGTAAAACCACTGTAGATTTATATATTAGTATAGATTGCCTATAGCAATAATGACGGTTCAATTCGAATAGTTTGCTATTCCAATAACATTTAAAGGGGATGTCTTTAAAGGTCTTCTTAGGTCTTCCTATGTGATATTGCTCGGTAGACCGACAGTCCGAATGTTGTTGTTCGGAACTTGTATATATGCAAGCTTATCTTGAAAATGTCATAAGCGAGGTTCAGGCATTTGTCAAATATGTTGTGTTGATGTATGATGACTACCGCCACAACTCGATATCCGTCACTTCATAATGGCCCCAAAAGAACACTTCACAACACTGAAAACTCATTTCATTAAGGCCTTTGCACAACATAAACCTTCGCAGATCTTTCCCTAACAAAATGCTAAAGAACTCTTTTATTGTTTTTGTTTCATCTAAAAACATTTTAGCGATTAGCCACTTGATTATGTATTAAGGCTGCTTCACACATTACTCGGTGCGCTCAATGGGCGAGGAGCATGCGATGATCCACTTTCCTTTTTTTAACACTTCAGTCGTGGGATCATTTAAGTTTTTATTGTTGCAAACAAGCCATTGTGCCTCCAAGGTCGGTTTTGGTGAAATCTCGAAGAAGTCACTGGCTTTTACGTCGATTGCGAGTTTCTATTTGATTAAAACGCTGCTGTCCTGGATGTGGTATCATAGCGCGCCATCTCTATATAGCATTTCGGATGGTTTAATCCAGTTAATGTGTGAATCTGACGTCATCAAGTACTTCTACGGGCGGATTATGAGAGAGTACTTTTTTTGCCCTTGTAGGTAGATGAGCATATGGCCCACCTGATGGTGAGTGGTTACCGTCGCTCATGGACGTCAGCAATAACTAGGGGCAGAACCAAGCCGCTATTTCCATAATGATCATGAAAAATTCCCTGAGCATGCTAGGAATTGTGTTATTGGATATGATGGACTCCAATATACGTGGGCCGTAATTCATTGACCATCAAAGTGCTCGGAGGCCAACGTTCAACTGGTTCGATAAGTGCTTAGTAAATATCTTTATTCCCCTTCCTCCTATCCCTACAACTATAGACCTTACTATCTGGTCAGTAGATTGTAGTTGATCTAACTCTGAAATGACCTGAGTTAATACAGAAATCACACCAAACCGTGATATATCTAAAAAAACTACAACTACACCTACTGGTGGTAGGACCTCTTGTGAGTCCGCGCGGGTAGGTACCACCGCCCTGCCTATTCCTGCCGTGAAGCAGTAATGCGTTTTGGTTTGAAGGGTGAGGCAGCCGTTGTAACTATACTTGAGACCTTAGAACTTATATCTCAAGGTGGGTGGCGCATTTACGTTGTAGATGTCTATGGGCTCCAGTAACCACTTAACACCAGGTGGGCTGTGAGCTCGTCGATCCATCTAAGCAATAAAAAAAAAAGAAACGCCTTATACATATTCGCGGCATCGTTCAATAAATTCCCGTTTTATTCTTTACAGCTGTCCGTAGCAGAAGTGGAATTGCAAGCAGCAGCAGAAGAGAGAGATAAGCTTCTAAACGACGCCAACTACAACAGTCTGCAGAACGACGAAGCTGTCACTCGCGCCAGACAAGAGAGAGACGAAGCCATCGAAAGGAAAAAGACAGCTGAGGTATGAATTTATCGAAGTAAAGTCCTAACAATAAAATCTATATATTATTATATAAAAATGAATTGCTGTTCGTTAGTCTCGCTAAAACTCGAGAACGGCTGGACCGATTTGGCTAATTTTGGTCTTGGATTATTTTTGGAAGTCCAAAGAAGGTTTAAAAGGTAGATAAACATGAAAATGCTCGGAATTAAATAAAAATAATAATTTTGTTTTTCCTTTGATGTGTCCCCTGTCGGACGGATTCCTTTTGTTTGTTTTAAGTTTATTTTATACAAAAGCTTAGGTCTTTTATTTATCGATTGAGGCACTATAAAGTCTGCCGGGTCAGCTAGTAGTAAATCTATAAGTTAAGAACTAATTTCTCAATCATATCACTGTTTTGTCTTATACTGCAATTTTTACGGGTGGTAGGACGTCTTGTGAGTCCGCTAATACTTTCCATTAAAATTCCAGGTGGCTCTGGCTAAGACCCGCGTGGAGTTGATGCAAGCGAACAGTCAGCTTTACGAAGCCGTGCGTCAGAAGGTCGACCTTGGTCAACAGCTGGAACAGTGGCAGGTTTGTATGCAATTATCAAAAGTTTCGGTTGTCACACACACACACACACACACACACACACACGCACGCACGCACGCACACACACTCACACGCACGCACACACACTCACACCCACACGCACACGCACACTTGCACACACACAACTCAATATACTGACAATAATGGGAGATATAAAAGTTTATAATTTACAACAGATATTCCAATGTTTATCCTCTCTTTAAGTTTTTTTACTACAATAATTTTATTACTTTGACTTTAGGCTAGTTTAAAAAAAAAGATTAATTTAATTTTTAATTCGGCTCGCTTATCTAGCATATTTATTTAGCTATATGCTATTAGTCAAATACCTAAACAAAATAAGGTTTGCTAAATCTCCAAGGAAACGAGACAGTCTAGACTTGTCATTGCACCCAAATACAAATACTTGATGTTTTACAAATTTAGTTTTCAATTGTAAATGCAAAGCATCTAAAGATAACTATTTAGGTACATTTTAAAAGTAATTATTATGTTTCTTTTAATATCCGGAAGGCACACGGCATGATGCTATAATTTTCAATTTCAATTATGCCTAATTCAATGATGGTGTATATCTATACTAATATATAAATCTACAGTGGTATTTACGGATGTTTCGTTATAACTACTGAACCATGCATCCGATTAACTTGAAACTTGGTATCCATATAGAAAATACATGTACTTAATGGATAGGCTAATATTTATATGAGTGTTGGACTCCCCACACCAGTTGCGGGGGCGTTAATGATGAGAATCTTTGTGGGGGTGAGAAATAATTATGTTAATTTTAAATGCCCAGCGAAGCGGAGGGGTACAGCTAGTGTGTTCATAAATCTATTAAAAATTTATGTTTTTTTTATTCTTTCAGATGGACATGCAGGAACTTATCGACGAGCAGATGAAGCACAAGCTCACATCGCAGGAGAAGAGGAGGAAGCTGCCGGAACAGCCTGCCCCTACCCGGACCTCGCGACTCCTTGGATTTTTTCACCAGTGATCTGTTGTACGGACCACAAAGCGCTCACCAATGAAGCCATAAAAACGACCATCATATCATTTATGTATTATATTTTAATGAAACAGGACAGTTTCTCGGCAGTTTTAACGTCGCTACTGACATTATTGTATCGAAGCGATCTGTCAAACGTCATACGCGCGTCGGCCATCTTGTGCGTCACGGACGTCGCGACGACCGCGCGGGCATTGATTTGCGTTTTTATTTTATTTTTTAAAACGTGTGATTTCTACACTTACGCAGTGATAGCTAGTTTAATTTTTAGAATGCTAATTATCAATTCAATTATTTTTATTTTTTAATTATTTTACATTTTTATTTACGTATTATTTGCACTCGAATGTTTGATGGCTGATGAAGACTTTATGCGCGATTTAAAAGAGCGAAATGTACAACAGATTTTTGATGTTACGGACATAGCGTAGTGGAAAGTTGAGGAATGAATGGTCCTTGAAATTTTGACCTTCTCGATACGGCCGTTTCGATTGCATCTAGTGAGCTCAATGCCTAGTTACACGCGCCTGAGGGATCAACGTGGTACATCTCAAGCCGGCTAGAAATACGAACGATACGAAACAATCGAATAGTTGGTGAATTGGTGAAAAAACAAGTTACCATAAGCAATAATAACATTAGTATAGTGAAAACTAACCTTGTGATTTTAGTGGCCGTTTTCCAATTACAGCACAAAAGCGCATTATGCGGCATAATGCTCAACTAAGCTTCAGCATAATTCGGCATTGTGCGTCACTGAGTCGCATTATGCTCTGTAATTAACATTACTTAATGGTAGTTTTCCAATTGTAATTGGAAAACGGCCAGTGTTTCCTTGAGCTGGAGACTCATTAATGGCGGATTTATATATCGTTTAGCATATGACAATGTGCACGAGCGCGGGAAAGTTATACAAAACGTTGCCGAGTTCCAAAAAGTCAATCGAGGCCTTAGTAAATTACCTGTCATTCTATTGAAGATTATCATTAGAAGGCCTAAAAGTCGGATAACCGATGGCCGTAAACAATAAAAAAATCCGCGCTAACTCATTACTAACTTCATTCGGTTACATCGTCGCCATTTCGTCAACATTTAACATCAGCTTCAATAAAATTATTTAACAGAGCAACGAGAAGAATTATAATAGTGATGACATATAAAACTTTCAGTTTCTTGAAAAAAAAATCCTTATCTAATATGATGATAGCCTAAGGGACTGTTCCAACTACGACTACGACAACTAAAAAAAACGATACTTCGTTTATCAAATATTATTATGACATTGCGATTATACCCCTTGCACAACAACCTATATATCAGTTTTGTATGTCTTGTCAGTATAACATCTCGTGCTAGAAAATACCCGAAGACAATAGCTAAGCGAATAATCACAGATGTTCCCGTAGTTCACTGTCCCATGAAAACGTCTACAAAGACGGTTGACGTTGCAACTGCTTTGAAAACTTGTGAAAAATTAAAAAGAGACATGGCGATTGCCTCCGTCCCTCTCGCACCGTCACGTAACGAAAAATAGACGCTTGGAAACGGTCCGTCGTCACACGTACTGTCTGATCGCAATGAAAAATCAGTTTTGCGATATCCACAGCTCTGATCTTAACTTAAAATTGAAAATCGTTTGTCATACGCGCTACACGTCCGAATATCGAGGGTTTTTTTATTTATTAATTGAATAACTCAGTATATACACTAATAAAATTTGACAGCTTTAAATCTTAAAACATTATTCATAAAACTTCATGAAGTTTTTAAAACTTTAATTCTTGCCTTTAATAAAGGATAGAATACCTTTCTAAAATCTTTCGATTTATATTCAATTTGGTTTATATACGTTTATTTACGATAATTTTTGTATTAATTAATAAAAAATTTTGTATTTTTGATGTTTTGTTCGTTTTCTAAATTACCAGTACCTTGACTGAAGGGACAGTGCACACATAGACATATTAACGAGAAAGTTTAAAATTCAGCCATTCGAAATCGCTCTTTAAAAAAGCTTTGTAAATAACACATAATATTAGTTGAAAAAAAAATATTTTATTGTAATATTAATATAGCCTAAGTAAAATTCACTTGAAGTGAAAGATTTTCTGGTGCACTTTAGTATTTAGTATTTAAAATTAAAATGTGAAAAACGTCAAAAGAAAAAGAACTCTCAATGTCATTGTGTAGTGGAATTGTCACTTTATCTGTCATTTGTATATTTTTGAAAATAATACTTCTGCACTTCTTGATCTTTTTCTTTTGACGTAACAATTTTTACCATAGAACATACACATTGGAAAGGTAGCCATATGTATTTTACCGTTATAAAATAAAATAAACATGATCTGTCGGACATAGAATAATGTAATTAGTTTATTATTGAATTTTAATTACTACACACACGAAAATTTTAAAATAATTAGTTATAAATGAAATATTAACAATTGTTTTGCAATTGAATAATACTGTGCCTTAAACGTACCTGGCCTTTTGCGTGCCTTTGTATAGAAGAAAATAGTAAAAGTACTTAAAAATATGTGCAAAAACTATTTTAATTTTAGACAACAATATTTACAATATTTAGACTTTATAACAAAATTTAAACCGTGCTCAACTTCAAAAATTGCTCACGAAATAAAAAAGAAGAAGAACATAGACTAGCAAAATAAAATAGCTCGACAGCTGTCAAAAACGACAGATGTCATTCAGAGAAACTTTTTTGCTGACATACATTTTTGCCTATATAACACATATTTTTGCTTTATGAACTCATAACAATAACTATTAATTATTAAGACTGAAATAATAATGATAATATGATTCTTAAAATGCGTTTATGTACGGCAAAGTTGCATTTTGCAGAACTGTATTTTTTTTTCATAATATTGCACAAAATTAAACATTAACTATATTATTTTCTTTGTCAATGCGAATAAAAATAGTAGCAATTGCACAACACATAACACACGCACTTAAAGGTATGGATAGAAGAATTGTCATTGATGATAGTAGTACTTATTATTGTTCCATAGTAGAATACCCACATAATGTCACATGAACTGACCACTAGCTAATTGCAAACAAACGTTACAGTTTTTTGGTAGAAAAATTATATAAGTTTGTAAAACAATGTTGCTACAGTCAGTTCAAAAATACATTTTTTTTTTAATATTTTCCATTGATTTTAAAGAGTAACATTAAAATAGTTGAATAAAATTATTACTTTTACGAATTTTATCAATTAACCAATGGCTTCATATCAATGAGAATTGATTTAAAGGGGCATTTAATATAAAATTATCAAGCGATCGTTTTTATTATGATTTTTTTACATTAGTAAGTAAAAACGGGCATACATGAAGTTTTTAATGATATAATTATCATATTTTAGTTTGCTATCTACTGAATACTTTTTTAACTAACAATTTTACTGTCGTCAATTTAGTAACATGTAATCGAGTATAGAAGTAGAGTCTGTGGTACTCTATTAACAGCTTAAAGCTGGTGTTGTCAGCTATATGGATAGTTTATCGATGGGCTGGCAACAGTAACAGTATATATCTATAGCGTGAAATCTGGTAATACTGTAATTTTTTCACTTTTCAAAATTAATTTCACGTTCCAATATTTCCAGTTTATTTTTGTAATTTTATTAATTCCAAAAACTCTCAATATTTACACATACATATTTACACATAGGGAATATCAAGAACAATCGTGTACAGAAATCTTTAGTAAAAATATCTATCTATCTAATAAAATTAATAGTTTGTCAACACGCTCTTGACTGCGGCGCCAACCATTCTGTCAACTGTCAAATCAAGTTTTAGAGTAAATCCAAAAACTGACTAAGGAAAACAAATTAATACCATGCACAGTGTGCGAGGCTATTGAAAAACATTCTTCTCTATTTTAATAAACACTATTAGACTAGATGGTTGGCGCTTATTTTAAAATCTGGGATCTTTTTATCGTGACCGTATTTTATGATCGTATTTTATCATTACCAAGTTTTACGCTTTTGCCAGCTATTTGCTGCTATTTTGTTACTGATATCCAAGGAAACTTGTGGGCAGAAGTGATTATTTACACTCCTCAAATCCCTTATGTTGCTATAAATGAAAATTCAATTACACACATATTTCCCAAACGTTAAAATATGCTTTTTACCTTCATATGACTATACGAAAGTCTGTGTTTTTTACACGTAACTCTCACGTACTCTGTAAGTGCGAACCATGTTTTACCGATCAACTCGAATTACAATACATTCTAACTTCGTGATAAACAAAAGGATTACAATAAAAAAGTAAGAGTCAATTGAAAATGATATTGTATTAAAAAGTGTAGGTAGTTAATTTAAAAAAAAAGTGTACTTAATATGAACGGCACCGATAATGAGTACTTAATTAAATAATAATAATTTTTATAATAAGATCTATATATGTATCATGACTATACACTAAATTGTAATTTGTTTGTGGAGTTTAATAAATAATAATAAATTGTTTTTGTTTCTTATTTACATTGACTAAGGTATTCCGGAATTGTACACACGTGTAAGGCGGTAGATTGGATAACAACACACTTTCTAGTAAGCGGCTTTCAGAGTCCCAGGTTTCGGCTCAAACTTTTTTAATTTCTATTGCATAAATAGGTCGACGAGCTCATAGACCAAGGTGTTAAGTGGTTACCGGAGCCCATAGACATCTACAACGTAAATGCGCCACCCACCTTGAGATAAATAAGTTCTAAGGTCTCAGTATAGTTACAACGGCTGCCCCACCCTTCAAACCGAAACGCATTACTGTTTCACGGCAGAAATAGGCAGGGTGGTGGTACCTACCCGTGCGGACTCACAAGACGTCCTACCACCAACTACCTGCTACTCTCGCACAGTGCTAAATGAGTTCATATTTGACAAATACCCTTCGATTTTGGAATTTATCTTTTGATAAGTGAGACTTTTGATGAATGTAATTTTTTACCAAGGTTTTAAAATAAGGCAGCCTGGTTGACAATGCCACTAAAATTTTTAAAGTTCAGTGGTGACGGTAGGAAATAGCGAAAATATGGACGGTTCATTTATTTTGCGTTTGAAGGCCTCGGAAAAAATCTTGAGATCCGACATAAGATTGACGCCTCCATTGCAATTACAATGCCCGTGCGTGTTTATTAGGTATATACCTTCACCTTATCACCTGTAATTTCAGGGCTGTGATCGAGTGCTGTATCAATCTGCAATTATGATTTACGGTAGGCGGCTGCTCGGCTATGCCCCTGGCATTGCTGAAGTCCATGGGCGACGGTAACCACTCACCATCAGGGGGGCCGTATGCTCGTCTGCCTACACGGGCAACAAATAAATAAAAATTATGAATATAAAAGTTGATCGATTGTTGCATCAATACTTCATGGGACATGAAAATGAATGATGAACTTAAAAGTTCGGAACTTAATTCCCGTACAATTACCCATGCCTATAAACGTTGATAACCATTTGCTATCAAATGCGCTGACTTGGAAACCAATTTGAAATCTACGTAATCACTACATAGTATAAAACAAAGTCGCTTTCTCTGTCCCTATATCTATCTGTCCCTATGTATGCTTAAATCTTTAAAACTACGCAACGGATTTTGATGCGGTTTTTTTTTAATAGATAGAACGAAGAGGAAGGTTTATATGTATAATAACATCCATTAAATAGTGGAGAAATCAATAATAAATTACAGTTTCCGAAGCGAAGCGAGGACGGGTCGCTAGTGGTAAATAATTGAAATTGAAACAAGCGTTCAATCTTTTCTGATCTTTTTGAAATGAAAGTCAAATAAAAAGAAAATTCGATACACGCAACGCAGAATAAAGTCAGAAGAGACTCTGACAGAGGCCGTCAAACTTTTCACTTGGATATTTCGATTGCTTTACTGTGTACAGATTTAAAAATTAATCAAGATGCCGACGCAAGTTGAACAGAAAGTCGTCGATCCTGAAGCTGAACTCAGCAATGTGCAAAGAACGGTATCTATTCTTAAACATAACTATTATAAATAATTTTACTCAGGAAACCTCCGTAGCCAGATGACTTTTTTTTTATTGGTTAGATAGGTGAGGTAGGAACCCGACCCGTTGGACGGACCAGATTCGTGCAGCCCTGGATACCACAGTGCACGATGCTCTGCACTCAGCTGCAGATAGGAACAGATGGCGGTGCACTATAAAAAACAATCTGTTTCAAGGCCATAACCACGACCCTCAGTAATGAGGAAACCGACGCAAGGAGGAGGAGATAGGTGAACGAGCCCACCTGGTGTTAAGTGGTTACTGGAGCCCATAGACATCCACAACGTAAATGCGCCACCCACCTTGAGATATAAGTTGTAAGGTCTCAAGTATAGTTACAACGGCTGCCTTAAGTTACAAGGTTACGCTGACATAGCCTCTCAAGCTCTCAAGCTTAGGTAGATGAAAATGAGATAGATAACCTCGTAGTGGCGCTAACAATAAAAACTTCTTCCGCCGTCTCGCCCTTCGACCCGGTGGACTGATTTCACTGATGAATACTGTATCGATAAAGCCCCATCGTTTCCGGTATCGATATTTTTTACTGATGGTAGGACCTCTTGTGAGTCCGCACGGGTAGGTACCACCGCCCCGCCTATTTCTGCCGTGAAGCAGTCATGCGTTTCGGTTTGAAGGATGAGGCAGCCGTTGTACTGAGACCTTAGAACTCATATCTCAAGGTGGGTGGCGGCATTTACGTTGTAGATGTCTATGGGCTCCAGTAACCACTTAACACCAGGTGGACTGGTGAACTCGTCCACCCATCTAAGCAATAAAAAAAAAGAGTTTAACATTTATTAATAGTATAATTAATAGCTAAGCTAATGAACGCCACTATTAAGATACTTATCGTTTTGAATTTTCATATTAAAAATGAGTGCTTAACTTTATTTTGCCTCTTTTATTCTCTTTAATGTCATAAAGTCTGTTATAATATAGTTTTCGACAAAGCAAGGCCTATAATAATATTAAGCCTTGCTCTTTCTAATGAAAAGTAACAAAATGTCTATGATTGTAACAGTTTCAAAAGCTTGCGCCGATGTGCAGCGTTGAGAAGAGATCTCAAGGAACGCCCCAACTCGCGCCCCAGGCCAAGCAGCTGTCCATACTCGCCAATGAACTGAAGGAAACATTGTTATGTATCAAGGTTAGTTTGAAAATGCATTATGAGTACCTTGAGTATTTATGCGTGAATTAACGCAATAACTGAAAACTGGATTAAGTATTTAAGTAGTACATCGTCGCTATCAAACCAAAATCTGCTATGTGCAAAAACTCTATTTTGAATTAACGAGTAAAAATATTTTCGTATAAAATTTTATATGAAGGTGAATTTTTAAGAAGCTATAGATAAATATTAAAGCCATAGCAGTACACATGACAGTTTTTGTACGGTAGATAGGGCTGTGAACTAAACGAAAAGGTCAAAAAGTAAAAATATTAAAAAGTGCACATAGCAGATTTTGGTTTGACAACGACTACATATTATTATTGTGTTCACGACACTCGACAACACTGAACTTTAAAAATTTTAATTGAAAATATCGATATTGGACACATAATATGTATTTACGCTCTTTTGTCTATCGAATTCAATGAATAAAATTTGTCCAAGTAATGATTTAATCTCAATCGAATTTCCAAAAAAATCCTAAGTTTTTTATTGTAAATTCGAAAGGTCGGAAATAATATGTTTTAATCAGAAAATAGTTTTAGACATAAATAGTTTAAATAATAGAATTCTTTATCGAAACATTCAATAAATATTTGGTATAATTTATCTTTATTCCTGTAACATTCCATTCTCATGACATCATTTAAAAGTGGAGCTATCTTTTACTATTATCAGGCGAATTCCCGGAATTCCTTTTTCAAACGAGGCTTGTGGAGAGTATTAAGCGGTAGGCAGCGGCTTGACTCTGCCCCTGGCATTGCTGAAGTCCATGGGCAACGGTAACCAGTCACCATCAGGTGGACCGTATGGTCGTCGTCGTCTGCCTACAAGGGCAAGAAAAATTGTTTTTGTAAATATTTTTTTCTGCGGCCCTCCAGCTTTTGTTGTTAAACTTATTAGCCCGCAAAGGTATGTAGTTTGGGCAGCCCTATCCATATATTATATAAAAATTCGTTAATCTCGCTAAAACTCGAGAACGGCTGGACCGATTTGGCTAATTTTGATCTTGAATTATTCGTGGAAGTCCTGAGAAGGTTTAAAAGGTGAATAAATATGAAAATGCTTGGAATTATATGAAAACAAACAATTTTGTTTTTCCTTTGATGTGTCCCCCCGTCGGACGGTTTCCTTTTGTTTTTTAAAAGTTCATTTTATACAAAAGTTTAGGTCTTTTATTTATCGATTGAGGCACTACGAAGTCTGTCGGGTCAGCTAGTATTAAATAATTCCTTATACCAGTTAGCGAGCAAAGGGCAGCACGCCCACCGAGACAGCCTCGTGAAATCCGGAACCCGCAAGTCTATTGTGGAATACGAGCACCTGGAATCTGTGCTCAGAGACGAAAAAGCCCAGCAAACGGAACTAGACTGCCTTAACTACCTCGCGCAGAAACAGCTCGTGGAATTACTGAAGAAAGTGCCCACCGAAGCTGATGTAAGTTGTAGCAATATTTTGTAGTTCCTTGACAAATTTATCCGCTTTATAATGAACTAGCGACCCGCCCTCGCTTCGCTTCGGAAACTGTAATTTATTATTGATTTATCTACTATTTAATGGATGTTATTATACATATAAACCTTCCTCTTCAATCACTCTATCTATTAAAAAAAACCGCATCAAAATCTGTTGCGTAGTTTTAAAGTTTTAAGCAAAGGTACATAGGGATATAGGGACAGAGAAAGCGACTTTGTTTTATACTATGTAGTGACGTTTTAAGAATTTAAGAGGGGATTCCAAAATACGAACCGTACGCGGTGAACTGTGTAAGTTTAATTCTGAGATAAAGATTTCAGTTATGAAAAACTGATTGAATGCTAGTCGGGATGGTAGCGACTTGTCTCTGTCTCTGGAATTGCTGATGTCCATGGGTGACGGTAACCACTTACCATCAGGTGGGCCGTATGCTCGTACGCATGTTCAGGCAATAAAAAAAAAAAAGTTGACCAGTATGTTGAAAATTAGTCACCTCCTATTTCAACAATTTTCTTTGATTGTTTTTTATTGCTTAGTGGGGTGGACGAGCTCACAGCCCACCTGGTGTTAAGGGGTTACCGGAGCCCATAGACGTCTACAACGTAAATGCGCCACCCACCTTGAGATATAAGTTCTAAGATCTCAGTATAGTTACAACGGCTGCCCCGCCCTTCAAACCGAAACGCATTACTGCTTCACGGCTGAAATAGGTGGGGTGGTGGTACCTACCCGCGCGGACTCACAAGAGGTCCTACCACCAGTAAAACATTCAATGATTGAGTATGATATTTTTAATTTTCTTGAATTTACCGTATTAACTATGCCTGCTAGGAACTAGCAATGATAGAGAACGCTGGCAACAGACTTCGTCGTATGGAGAACCGGCTAGATTTGGCAAGCAAGAGATTCTGCCTTGTCAACTCGGACAACAAGAGAGTCAGGGAGGAGATCCATCGATTATTAGTTGAAAGGTTAATCAATTAATCAATCAAAATTTTGACACGGAATTTGTAACTGCCGTTAATGAGTACGTCTTAATAAATTGAATTTACTTGAGATTTTGAGTGCCAGAATCTCGTAGCTGATCCAAACAATGAAAAAGTTTAGCTCAAATAAATAAAACAATAATATAGGATTCAGAATTTTCTTTGGTATCGTATCTGAAATTACCTGCTTCAGTAATCACCAATCTTCCTATCGAGAAGTAATTCTTTTTTTTTAATTATTGGCCCGTATAGGCAGACGACCATACAGCCCACCTGATGGTAAATGGTTACCGTCGCTCACGGACGTCAGCAATGGCAGGGGCAGAGCCAAGCCGCTGTCTATCGCTTAATACACTCTTCAAGCCTCGTTTAAAGAAGGACATGCTGTGTGTGTGTGAAGGAGGTGATGTGCAAGGAAATGCTGTTATGTGGTTGCCACAGACAATAATGTGAATTCCACCACCCAATCGACCAACCCTGAGATGAAAGATCGAAGTTTTATTTGCTTAGTGATAAAGATTGTCCCACCTTTCAAACTGGAACCCATTAATGATTGTATAAATGGCCCATTCGCTAATGCTAATGCCAACGGTTAGGCAATGGGCAGTACGGATTCAAATTCAAAATATACCCCCAGAATCCAATAAAATATGAAGTCGTCGTGGCCTAACGGATAAGACGTCTGATGTATTCGTGTTGAGCGATGAACCGGTTTTCGAATCTCAGGCGGGGGTACCAATTTTTCTAATAAAATACGTATACTCAACAAATGTTCACGATTGACTTCCACGGTGAAGGAATAACATCGTGTAATAAAAATGAAACCCGCAAAATTATAATTTGCGTAATTACTGGTGGTAGGACCTCTTGTGGGTCCGCGCGGGTGGGTACCACCACCCTGCCTATTTCTGCCGTGAAGCAGTAATGCGTTTCGGTTTGAAGGGTGGGGCAGCCGTTGTAACTATACTTGAGACCTTAGAACTTATATCTCAAGGTGGGTGGCGCATTTACGTTGTAGATGTCTATGGGCTCCAGTGACCACTTAACACCGGGTGGGCTGTGAGCTCGTCCACCCATCTAAGCAATAAAAAAGACGATTTTAAGTTAGATTTAAATATTTTGTAGAAATGACTTCAACATTCAATGGAACCGCACCATCGGGAAGCTGATGAAGGGCAAAGAATACCTGATGGACATATTCGAGATCGCCGCCGTGGCTTTTGGCGACCGAGATGAGTGCTGCAGAAAAGTTGAGGCATTGAAATGGAAGGGACTATTCCAATTGAATAGAGATATATCGGTGGGTTCTCTAGGCTGCTTTCAAGTTAGTCAACACGATGATGATTCGCACTGGATCGGAAACGATTTAAAGATCGACGAAGATTAATTATCGGAAGCTGGAGTCTACTACCATTATCAACAGCCGAACAAACAATAAACATTTGAAATTTCAAATCTCATTGTAAACTAAGTAATATACAAAAAATTTAAAAGAGTTCAAATGTTTATTATACCTGTAACATCTTTGACCTTTAGTGTTGTAATTCGCAGGAAATGCAATTCTACGAAGGCGAACTGAACCATCTGGCCAAATTGGAAGAGTTTTTAAGGGTAAAAGGTTCTAGAAGAATTTGCGAAGCCGATGAGAAAGAGGAAATCAAGAGACAGGAGGAAATTCAACGTTGCGAGCAAGAGATCGCGAGGCATGATGCTTTACTTGAAGAGATATTTGTAGGTTTATTTTTAGATGTTTATCTGAATTCTATTTAATTAGTTTCAGGGTATTTTTATAGATATTTACTTAAAGAAACAGACAATGTTTATTAGAAAGAGATTAGAATCTCTCGAGCGAGAGTTAGGCAAAATGCGCATCAACAATGTCTATTATCATGCCGATAGCATATCATACATCATGCATCAGCATGAGCAGCAGAACTCAGTGGGTGTTGAGCTGCAATACAGGCCCATAGACACCGCGATCACCATTGAATACTCAATCGAATATGTCCTGCCTTTCAACGTGTGGCTTGATTGTCGCAACTAACCGTGTGGGCTTTATCATCAGGGTTTATCAGTTTAATTAGGTTACCAATGGTAATGAGCAAATAGACATGAATATTGGCGGATACTAAAACCACCATGAATGTAATATATTAAGTTAACAGTTGCCACGTGATCAGACCAGGGTCACATATCAGACAATACAGATAATCGTATGGTTTATAGGTAAGATAATGACTTAAGAAACATACTTGATGTCTCGAGGGGGCGCCGGCGATCCCTCGTTATGAATGCTTAACAAAATAATGCCCTTATTAAAGTTTCATTAAATTTCAGGATTACTCCGGTTCAGATAGAGCCGTGACTATCATAAGTCATTTCAACATCAAGGAAATTGAAAATTTCTCGTGTTTCGTGCTCCTGTGCGAGATTCTGCAGGAGTCTATCATCATTAGACGAGATCTGGAGAGGCTTAGACAAACTATACGTTAGTCGCATAAACTGTGTCATTGCATACATTTTTCCTACCTTCTTTCACATAGAATGAGAGCTCATTTAAAACGATATCTCATCCTGTCACAGCAAAAATTGCATAAAATTGTTAGATTAGAATATGATCTTTGACTTTCTTTTTTTGTAATTAACTAGCGGGCCGCTAGTTAATTATAAAATCAGAATAGTAATGGAATAAGGTGAGAATGTACGTGTAGAATGTGTGAATGTGTATATGAATGCATGTAAGGTCCGTATGAACCAAAACTTATTGGAACAACTCGAGGTGACCTTATGATTAAAGTGACCGTCGAACTCATACCTAAAATCCTCTAACTGAAACCAGTGGATTGAAGTATAGACACTGTCATCTCCAGTGGACCAACGTGATATAAACGAGGCCCGTGAAGAGAAACAAGATAAACGCATCGCCGAGATGACACGAGAGCTGCAGCAACAGAGAGACAGAACTCAGAATGCTGTGGAGCTAACAAACGTGGCTGACACAACTATTATGAAAGTACTTAAAGGAATAGATGACTTGGTCAGGTCAGATTGCGCTGTTATTATATCTATAATTGAACAAATAAACAGATATTATTTGGTGAAGTAGTTTCTTAACACTTTATTTGTAGTTGTTAGAATTTTAATAAGTTTTAATAATGTTATTTTTGCTTGTAACTTTAATCGATGTCCTTAGATTAGCAAAATGCGATTGCACGCCATTATTGTCGTTGCTTGGCAACCACAAGGAAGTGACGAAATGGAATGTTTCTAAATTCTTGCGTATCCTTGAGGCTGAGGTCAAGAGTCTCATTGAAGTTGTATATGGAGCCGTCAAGGTAATTTCTCCACTTCGATAAAGCGGCACGATACGAGAACCTTCTCATCGTGGCCGCCGGTAAGCTACATTCCCGATCCTGCGGACAGAATGGAAAGCAGTCGACGTCGCCCCAAACACGTTATTTCGGATTCTCCCGATCCACTAATGGTGCTTTTAGGTACCTCAAGTACCGGTCATCATTCCCGTCGAACCTGTCGCTTGCGACGAAGGGCTCGACGAGTAAATTAACCCTCAGACACAGCCCACTGAGTTTCTCGCCGGATCTTCGCAGTGGGTCGCGTTTCCGATCCGGTGGTAGATTCTGCGAAGCACGGCTCTTGCTAGGGTTCGTGTTAGCAGCGTCATCAGGTTTGAGCCCCGTGAGCTCACCTACTAGTTAAGGCGACGCTGATATAGCCTCTCAAGGCTGTCAGCTTAAGTAGGAAAAAAAAGGTAATTTCTTAATTTATTTGATAACAGCTCTCATTCTTTTTTGCAACTTATCAAATATGTCAATCAACCTAAAACCACAATCTATTCAGCTATAGACGAACTATATAAAATGTCTTTGTGGCGAAATCTAAGATTCTAGTCATACTGCTTTTAATATTATGCTTTTCTATTTTTGCATAATAACCAACGTTTTACTAAACATTTAAGCCACCAGCACCAACACCGAAAGCTAAAAAGGGTCCAGCACCTGCAGCGACCAAATTAGTTGCAGATCCATATGTGGAACCACTAAGACCGAATAAAATTGAAAAACTTGTGCCTTACCAGCCATGTGCTTAGTGAGTTTGATATTAATTTGTTTTCTATGAAGTTCTCTTTTTAGCTCTATAGATTTGTGTGACTATATGGCACAAGTAGACTTTTATCTTAGAACAATTTATATTGTTTTGTTACTTGCCTTACATTGTCTGAATTCTAGCTCTTGACTGACTTGACTTTAGCCACTGAGAGATTCAGTGCAGCTCTGTCTATTAAGAGTATTATCTATGGCACTACCCTTGCTAGGAATAGTGTTAGCAAATTCAGGAGCCGTAAAGTTGCTTACATGTTCGATGAATCTATCCAGAATTGTATTCTATTATAACGCCTCTAAGTTCCTATAATAGGCAGGCAAAAAAATTAACTATTGATTTGCTATGTACATACTTCACTATATTTACAAATGAATTGAAATTATACGACGTTAATTATTTGAAATGAAATAATGTCTCAATGATATTATTGTGGAAAATAATCGAGCTTTCAATGAACTTTGAGAACGTGAAACGTTTACACGTCTAAAGTATTTTACTTCGGTTTTCACGAATTAAAAACGTAACTAATTTTACGGTTACACTAATGAAAAAGTTTTAGTGTCAATGAATAACCCCTTCGTCTTTCGTGATCACAAAACAGTGAAAATATATGAAAAATCGAAATTTAATAAAAAATCTATACCTATTTTAGATTCAATCGATAAAATAGTTCTATTAATTAAACATGTCTAAGCTTAAAAAAACGAAATAGATACTTATGTACATACCAACAATAATCATAATATTTCATAATGATTTCATAGTTTCATAGTCATACCTGATAGCTTTAGTCATTGTCAAGTTGTCAAATGTCAAAATTATTCACGTGGACAGAATGCTATCAACGCTAAAAAGTAAAATATCTACCCAGTTTAAAAACATTTAGAAATTTTCGCACTCATTAATTATTCCAATATGGGGTCATCACATATTATATAAAATTTCGTGGTTTGATTTATCTTTCTCATGATCTTAGCCCAAGTCTTAGATTTAGTGCGTATACTTATTCCGGTGCGAAATACTTTAATTGGTGCATATATTTTTGTTTTCCGCAGTTGCGTTGAAGATTACATCATGAACTTAGTATTCGAGACTCCGGCTATTCCTGCTGATAAGGAATATGTCGAAGGCATTTTCCACCTTGAAGATGTGAATACGAAATTTGGCATTTATACGCTTACTATTCCAACGTAAGCTGATTAAATTATATTACTTGTTCATTAAAGTTATTCACTTAAATAAATATGATAATGTTGCATTTGTTTTGCAGAAAACGTCACCCATATCGAGGACCCAAGAAAGATTAATTCATTTTACTAAATTAATAATATAGTGCTGTATTAAAATTGATAATAAATACTTTTGAACAATGTAATAAAATAATTTCTTTAACAACAACTTCTTTAGCAACAATTAAATTCACCTAATGAGTAATTACAACTTTTTAACTATCATGTAAGGAATAGTTTGTGAAAATGGTATCACTTATAAAATATAATGTTACCAAGAATTATTTTCCCCGAATTTCAAGTGAAAGTATAGTAAGTCAAATGCTATTTTCCAGCTCTGTCACTGAAATCAGAATTGTATTCTACTAAAACGGACGGGGTCGCAGCATCAAACCATGTAGATTCACACCACAGTTAAGGGATCATACCGGCGAATAATATGTGAAACCCGCAAAGAAATATAAAATTGAATAAGTGTTGATCGTAGTGTACACTGTAACCTTGAATGTGAATCCTACTTATTTCTATTGTGAAGAACTGATATATTCCGACTTAAAAAGCGTGACAGCCGTTATGCAATACAGTATGCCTTCGAATTTAAACATGACCAAACTATTGATTATAGTAATCACATTTATTTTATCTGTGAGCTCCGATTGTTTGTTTATTTAAGAATCTAAGGCCCCGGATGGTGCAAAGAGCTTCAACAATATTTCGCCATTGCGTTCGATCTTGGACTACGCGCATTACTTCGGATCAGCCAGTAATAGAACTCCGACTATTACTAGACTAAACAAATAAGTGAGTAAGTCTACTAATATGGTGGATGAAAAAATATTAGTACTAACGACAGAAGATGAAGCACTTGTTGTAGCTTCAGGAAACTAAATTAACTACGTACTTAGGTACTGAAACGTAAGGAAATAAATTTTAAATTAGTGTTAGGACTAACTAAGACTTATGAAAAATAAATGAAAATATTAAATTATTATAAATTCGAGCTCATCCATATATAGTAAAGAAATACATAATAAAGAAATTTTGGGGAGATTGTCCGACTTGATTTCGGAAGAATTCCAATCCATGCTGGCAGCACTGGTGATGTGTTTCTGTCTAATTTGCTTGTGTGAGTGATGTCTCCGCCATTGAAAATCATTTTAGCCGAGAATTGAAATAGGTTGTACCTTTCATAATCGGCAAAAATCTTAAACATCTCTCTTCTTTTACCTATTCTATTCAACCATATTTCGTACACATACAATATATCCGATGGCAGACAGAGACACAGATGAGTTAAACATCGATAACGTAATAAAAAAATTACTAAAAGGTAAATGTTGTTAATGTTGAAATAAACAAAAAACGGTTTATCTTGTCGTAAAATTAAAGTGAAATTCATATTTTTTGACGTGTTGTGGTAATGTGTTCATAATGTGTTGTAGTGATTTTACAGTGTTTAAAAGTGTTGTTTACGTTTTGTTTTCAGTACGAGGTGAGAAGCCTGGTATGAATGTTCAGTTGACGGAAATAGAAATTAAAGGGCTATGTTTGAAATCAAGAGAAATATTCTTGTCACAGCCTATACTACTTGAACTTGAAGCTCCTTTGAAAATTTGCGGTGAGTATAACATTCAACATTTTACTATCTACAACAACTTTCTGAAGAACATCTTTGCACCTCTTACAATTAGCGATAATTAATTAATGCTTCCATTAATTAATGTATGTAGTTTTAGTTGCTTATTTCTTAAATGCAAGCTTATGATTTTTGTTTTACAATCACTGTTACAAGACTACAGTTCAAAAAAGTTGTAAGTACCTTCAATGACGAAATACCTTAACTTTCTCCAGTATGCGTGTAATAGGAGAGACGCCCAATGAATTGTAATTTAATATAATAGAAAATTAAGATTATAACTGGAATATTCATTTTGGAAACACCATCAGAAAAACAGTAATAGTATATTCCTTTTAATTTATAAGGGATATACCCCTTCAAACATTTTGAAGTTACATGAACTGATGGCATTATTTGCATTTTATTCAAATTTCAAACATTACATGTATTTTAAACAAAAACTATCAAAAATGTTTATGAGATACATGCTGTAGAAATGTATTGAAAAGAAAAAGCATCAGGCAGTAATGTGGTACTACTAATCTACATATGTTATTACACTACTACCATTGCTTTAAACTTGTGGCTACATTTTAAATAATGAATGGGTTCTTACCATTATTTATTAAGTTTAATTACCCAATAGTTTTATTATGTTCTTAGAGCTATGGTTACAGTTAGACTAGATACTGTGTGTAGGACATTGGAGTAGACCAATTTGTCTACCCTCTTGTCTATTTAGTAAAAAAACAATAGTAGTAGGAACCCACTAAATAATATTGTTTATTATCTTGGGCATGATGTGGGAGGAGCTAGAACAGACTGCCCAAGACCGATATAAATGGAAAAATTTGATTCGAGCCCTACACCCCAGTAGAGGGTAATAGGAAAGAATGATGATGATGATTATCTACAGATGTTCATAATAGTTATTTAGCTAATTAATGGGTTTTTAGTGTCAAAATTGGTTTAAATTGCCATTCGATTCATACATTTGCTTGCATCTTTAATGGTCTGAATTTTTCTCATAATTTCAAAGTATAATAAGCTATGAAAATGCTTTAATAATAATACTTAGGGAATTAGACATAAGAAAATAAACAGAGGGACGACATTTAAATTCAATTAAAATGATCATTCTATTACTAAAATTAAAATTGAAATCACTATACAATTTAATAATATTATCCCTTTTCACTTATAATGTTAATTGCTGTTAATATACTGGCTAACATGTAGGCCCCAGGTGATGCTACACAAATATATTATATTCGATTCAGTGAGTGTGTTGCATGGCAATTTTGTAAAAATAAGGCCTTTGTTGTCATTGTTATTTTATATGTTATTATGTTTTACTCTATGTACTGATTGTACTCTCTGTACTTTTTTTTCTTGTATTTATGTTGAATTATAAATAATAGTTAGCCTTACTTAATACTTTATCAATGTATGTAATGAAAAGAAATATTATTCCACATTTGATTCTGATAAATGTGACAGATCAGTCTACAGTATTTTAAGTAAAAAGTGAGCATAGCATACTATGAACCTTGAAGTGTGTATTGTAATTTTGTCTGTCCTTGTGGTCTAGCTACTAGACTCTTGTTATCATAAAATCCATAATTGTAACATAACTTTTATTCACAGGTGACATACATGGACAATACTATGACCTCTTAAGGTTGTTTGAGTATGGTGGCTTCCCTCCGGAGTCCAACTATCTCTTCCTCGGAGACTATGTGGACCGTGGCAAGCAGTCCTTGGAAACAATATGCCTGCTCCTCGCCTACAAGATTAAATATCCTGAGAATTTCTTTCTTTTACGCGGAAACCACGAGTGTGCCAGCATCAATAGGATTTATGGGTAAGTTTATTTTAAGGGTAGTATATTTATTAGCACAAATAGAAAATACAACTGATAAGTTGCTGCCCATAGATGCTTCAAAGAAAATGCTGCCACTCCCCTATTGACAAAAATTAATTTCTTTACAGTAAAAACAGGCAGGTTAGTGTGACAAAGTCTCAAGCAATCTTAATGGCCATTGTCACAGGTATTGAACACTCATCTAAAAATCTTAATATACTAACAATTTATAGAGAGAAAGAAACAAATCGAGTCGTAATATGTTAAAAAAACTACGCATTTTGTTGTCATGGGAATTAAACATTGTACGCAGTAGTTAGTTTGTGACGCATCGCTGCTCATCAGATAAACAAAGGGGACATCTTTGGAATTATTGTACCGTGGGGCAATTTACTTTTAAATTATACTAAATTTTAACATGCATTTGTCACGCACGATAGAGAGGTAACTCGTAAACGTTACAAATAAAATTGTTAGGGTTTTTATCGAATTGACATCATTATTCATTATTATCCTGCCCTTCTCCCAGTCACCTGGGGTCGGCGCAACATGTTTTCTCCTTCCATACTCTTCTATCATATACCATTTCTTCGCTCACTACCTTCTTACCCATATCGTCTTTCACGCATTTCTTCTTAGGTCTAGCTCTTCCTCTTTTTCCTTTCACATAGTTAACATTCTCTTACCAACCTTATGTTCATTTCGTCCCATCACATGTCCATACCATCCCAAAAGCGCACTTCTCTGTCACAGGTGCCAGACTTCCTCTAACATATTCATTCCGTATTCTATCCATTCTCGTTACTCCACACATACATCGCATTTGTCAATTATTGTTCTGATTAATTAAGTTTTTTTTTTGAGGATTAGAACCTTTTTTAAAAGTATATATTCTGAAATAAATTCAAAGACCACGTTTAGAATAATTAAAAAAAAAAAGTTTTTAATACGGGCATACTACTTATATTTACTCGGTAAAGTTGAAACATGAGGCTCAAGTCACCTACGTTCGATCAAAACAAACCTAATGGCCTTTACAATTAGAACATTGGGCATGTTATATTATCGTTTAAAAACAAAAAACCAGTTTCCGTAAAAGGATGATGATTCATAAATTCAAATTCCGATCACAATACACGCTTCTGATAAGTTTTTGTAATGTGTAATATCAACAATAAAAGTAAATTGAAAGTAAATACGCAGCGGTCCGTGGTGACTTTAATAAAGTACAAATGTTTAGTATGAACTCATGAACGTACTTCTATTTACTTTTTTTTTTACTATAGTGACCTCGAGGGGTCATACTAGATTCACCGGGCGAGTAGGTGAGCTCACGGGTCTCTAACCTGTGGACAGTGCTAACACTAGTCCTAGCAAGAGCAGTGCTTCCCAGAATCTACCGGATCGGAACGCGACCCATTGACCAGATCCGGCGAGAAACTCAGTCGGCCGTGTCTATGGGTTTTCTGTTTACACCGACACGGGAGTCTTATTAAAAATATTTACTGGTGGTGGACGTCTAATTGGTCAAGTCCAGGCACTACTTCTGCCCATTTCTGCCGCAAGAGTAGGGTGTCTGTAATGCATTGGTGGTTACTGGTGGTATTACGTCTTTTGAGTTCGCACGGGTAGGTACCACCACCCTGCCTATTTCTGTCGTGAAGCAGTAATGCGTTTCGGTTTGAAGGGGTGGGGCAGCCGTTGAACTGTAAAAACAGACCTTAGAACTCGTATCTCAAGGTAGTGGCGGCATTTACGTTGTAGATGTCTGTGAACTCTGGTAACCATTTAACACCAGGTAGGGGTAGGTCGTCCACGCATTTAAGCATTAAAAAAATGACTACAACTCCTAAGTAAATATCTTAAGTTCGGATTAAGCTACATTATGCGCGCGGCCCTCTCACCCCGAGGGAATCCTTTATTCGGCCGGAATATTAAATTTTAATACGTAAGCCTGCTTAGTGTATGCGTTGTAAATTTACAAAAAGGTTTTCGGTACTATGCGTGATGTTCGTTTTACTGAAAACTGTTTTGTAGGTAGTTGTAAATTACTTGGTAGTGAAATTGGAGGGTAGTTTGTTCTTTTCGGCTTGTTTACGCGAATTTATTTTTAGAACAGTCGTGCCTTCTAGTAAATAAATATTTTTGAGTTCTCAGCCCGACTACTGGCTTTAAATTTGCGTGACTTAGACATCTTAGCCACCATAGGGAAGAATGTCGAACTGTCAAATATTGTCCAAGAGCTTTCCCGCCATTCAAAGCTACTAAAAATATCCCTGTAATGAATGATTCATTGAACGAAAAAACATGATAGATATATTCGATTAAACTATTATTAATCATGATAATAGTAGTAAACTAATTAAAATTTATATATATTTTTGTTTATCCAACAAAAAATCTTATCTGTTTATCACACGCTGTTCAATTTTTTTTAATATATTTTTTCATTAATACTAAACATACTGTAACGAGTCAAATGACTCATTTTGAACATTTGCATTGAAAGTGCAAAGCAATAAGTTGCTTTTGCACATTTGACTTCATAACATTTCTTACCCGTGATATGATTAGTGTTAATTCAAAACTTACTCAGATTTACATAGAGAATACCACGAGCTAGGAAGCCAATCTGAATAATCATCTGTTAGTGTGTAGGTTAGTTATCAAATCGCGAGTTTACACTATGTATTATAAAAGACAATTGGGTGTTGAAAAAGCGTAATTTTAATACTTGTGCTTAGCCTATAAAAAAAATTGCGCACAAGTTTTTTTTTTTGTTAGTCCGGTTTGGTTTGGTTTAGCTCTCGACCTCCGCATGTGACTAATATGTGAGTCATTAATTTTATTTGATTCGTGTTGAGACGGGTGTGCCGTTTTTGAAAATCATTGTACCCTTATTAACATCCGTATTTGGTATCTTATGTGTGAGATACAGAGCTGTGTATTAAAACAGCTTAGCTTAATACGGGCTGCGTGCTAATACATCCTTTTTTTTAACGAGCATCCCAATTGAAGCGGAAAATATGATGGCTTCGCGGCAGAGATAGGCAGGATGATACATGATACTACTCATCCAGAACGCACAGTATATCTTACCACCGTAATCAAGCATTTTATTTATTTGTGCTGATATCTTTCATTACACTATGTCACACGATGGCTACATATTCCCTTTCAAAAAAACTTCGGTGGTATTAAAAACATAGTGAGTACGATACGAATAAAAACCGCTTCTTACATATATAGGGTGATGCTAGGAGATTATCTATATATTTTTTTTTGTTATTAAAAAAAGTTATCGTTTTGGCTATTGTTGTAAATGAGATACATTCATCTCTTGGTACAACTGGCTCTGTACTTACGGCATTTTGATTTTAATACACCGAAATCCTTGTCCGAAGTGTCAATCAATACCAATAAAAGTATAAATTATTTTTTTGTCAATTAGCTCAATAATGTTTGCTGCAATTTTTTTCATATCAATTGTGTGATTTTTTTTTGTTTCCGTTTTTACAGCGCATCAATCTATTTGTTTTGTATTGTTATGCTTTAGTAGGGTTTGCAATAAAGTATATATGAGTCGACTATTATCAAAGCCGGCAATCTGACTTTTGGACAATGATTGGTAAATCAGAAAAACGAATTATTGACTTTGTATTCCATTGGCAGTCACAAAACTCTTCGGAACGACATCTTAGATAAATAACAGGTTAACTATTAACCTTTATTTAATGCAGGTTTTGAACCGTATTCTTTGAAGGAGACGATTATATTCAAATCAATCTGTATTGACATATCAATAAATTTTGTTTGTCCAAATGCACAGATTGCCACCTTTGATAATAGACGACTCATATACCCTGTTCTATGCATACCGAAGATTTATATTTGTAACGAGCCGTATTACGGTGAATGTTTCGTGTTATCACTTATCACATTGTTATCAAGCGTGAACGATATGTAGCGAACACGCCATGTTCGTCGGCAGATACATAATAATCTATTTAATTCGTCATTTTGTTCCGTAATGTTAAACTCTTCGATTAACCAAATACGTAATGTAATAATGTAGGAAAGGAGAATGCCCATTGTAGTATGGAATTTGGTTTCAGTTTGTGCTCTCATGTAACTTACCTCATTTTGTAGGGTTTAATATGTTTATTCAATTATAAAAAAATTTAAATATCTAGTTCACCGGATTTGCTAGTAAAAGACCAATGAAGTTTTTAGAATTAGGTTATTTTTTATATAAGACAGCAGTGGATATTTTTTGCTGAATTCCTAAATACTTAAAATATACGTATAAAGTATTTTATTAATGAAAACATGTATATAGTATAAACTTATTTAGCTAGCATAGTATTGTGTGGCTAGGGCCGCTACGTCCATTCGTGAAGTAAAGGTAGCGGGACTATTGCGGAAATTCAAAATAAAACAAAAATAGACATAAAATAATTTATTTCTCATATTGTGCAGATGTATAATTGTACCTAACCCAGCCCAGCCTAACATAGACAGAACAACCCACAGTTCGATTGCCAACGAGATAGCTGTAGTAATAACCATGCATTAATAGTATTAGCAACGTTTTCATCACGATTGATTAATAAGTACGTATGATAAATAAATTAATTCTGCCCCCAATATGCCTGAACTTCTGCCTAACAAAATAGGTAACGAATAATATGATCGAAACACACGATATAACTCAATCGGAAACATGAAAAACGGCGTCAGTAAATCAAAATATTATTGTTAGGTAGGTACTTGTCAAATGTCAGTAGCAGTAGTAGTTGTATTTTTCCAACTGGAAAGACAAAGGTATCATACCATACATAATCGTTTATAAATTTTTTTATAAAAAAATATAAAAGATATAAATATTTTGCCAATTGAATTAACTAATTTAATTTCATGCCAATTGATTAATGTCTCGAAATTAATTAACTTCATTTCATTTCACTCCATATGACCATTTTTTTAAAAGATTAGGCTGTATGAATTAATATCTTTGCCTTTCCATTGGGAAAATTGAACTACTACTAGATAGAAGTTTTTAAATTACTAATTGTTTTAATCTTCTATATCCGGCGAAGTTATAACTTAATATTTTTGAGGAAATTGTTAAAAATAAAAACTTAATTTTTAATATATATTTGATCGTAGCACAACACAAAACCAAAAATGGGCAATCTCCTTTGTTTGTTTGTTCTTTTTTAAGCGTGCGCGTGTCTAGTACGATTAAATTGAAGAATTATTGCAATTTATTTTTCGAATTTTAAGCAAGTTTTTGTCGTAACACTCAGAAAAGAGATTGAGATTTTACAGTACAAAAACTGCTCCTCCCTTTAAATCCAAACACATACCTGCTTCACCGTAAATATTCGCTGGCAACTACCGGTGCGAACTCATAAGACGTCCTGTCACCAAAGTAACCATAACTGCTTCACTCTATATTTTATATTGGCTGGTATCTACCTACCCGTGCGCACTCACAAGCCGTCCTATTACCAAAGCCAGAATATGGCTATGAATCAATAGTTACTCGTTAAAAAAATTATATTAGTAATGAATCATCAGTATTTACTTTGTTATGTATGTGGTCTCCGATGTTTATTACGCGGTTTAAAAAAAATCACAATGTATAATATAGCAACAACTTTTGAACTACGTCGTATGACGTGACATGTTTTAGAGCAGCCTTTCTCAAAGTGGCCGATAACGCCCCTTTTTAGGCGCTGCAGGCCTAAAGGGGGGCGGTAAGAGACCCAGAAAAAAATGGGGTACTGTGAAGGAGCTTGGGAGGCGATTTGTAATTTTATCTAGAAGGACTTAGATACCGACTGAACTCTCGCTATAGTGGCTCTTTAAGTAGGTGATAAAAAGGGGCCGCTAAAAAATAATTTATTCTCAAACTAGGCAAAGACTAAATAAGTTTGGGAACCCCTGCTTTAGAGGAATGAGAAACATGCGTGCAATATAAGATCCATAGCCGCTCCCATACAGGCGCCCCCTTGTATAACACGGTACTTGTAAAACACGGTTTCGATATTACACAAGGTCTCGATACTACACGGTGTACCTTGTTTCATATAACACGATTTCGATACAGCGCGATACGAATGAATCGTGTTTTACGAGGGACGCCTATATCAGCAGAATCAGAATAAATCAAATACAGCACCAAATTTAAAGTAATCGCGTGACGCGTGATAAAAATTAGCGATAAGCCTATTTAAATTTGATCGCGAATTTGAGCACCATCGGTGATTTAACACTTTGTAATCTATACTAATGTTATAAAGCTGAAGAGTTTGTTTGTTTGAACGCGCTAATCTTAGGAACTACTGGTCCGATTTAATAATTCTTTCAGTGTTAGATAACCCATTTCTTGAGGAAGGCTAGGCTAGGATAGGCTATATAACATCACGGTAAGGCCAATACAAGTGGAGCATCAATAAAGAATGTTTCAGAATAGGGGTTTAAATAACTCCTTAACATTCTATAATTCAAAAATATTTTCACTTTCTACGTAAATGAATTGGGGGTAAAATTTAGCGTTATACCAAAGTAACTATTCCACGCGGACGGAGTCGCGGACAAAAGCTAGTTAGTCTATATACATATCAACAACGTTTGTTTGACTTGCGCGTCACACGTAACGCGCTATTTGAAGCTTAGTCATAGTTTGACAATGAACCACATTATCTGGACGTTGGCCAGACGCATGAAAATACAATTAGACTACATTTACTAAATTGGTATTCTTTTTTTTTTGCGTATTTTAGAATTTTATCATTCTGAACTTTATATTCGCAGCACGCAAAAATGTTACCTTTGGTTACGTTTTAAAAATAATTTTAATAATCATTTTTGTAAGTTTATTTTCTTAGTTTGATGCAATTTAAGTCGTCGTGACCTAAAGGATAACACGTCCGTGCATTCGTATCGAATCCTTCATCACAGGGAATTTTTTAAAATAGCCCTTAAACCCGGAGTTTTAAGGTCAAATATGATTTATAGGCACATAACACCTTTATTCAATCTAAAAACTCAAAATCTTAAAAATGGTACTTAACTCCTTCATCCACTCATGTCTTCAATTGTATAAAAGCATACTCGCGCCCGTCCTCCCGAATGATCGGCCGTTGATAATCCTCAATGTTGAGGGTCATGGTTGGCCTCCTCTAATAACTTTCTCCCAGATTATCCTGCGCCACTTCTGCCTACCCTCGGCTGTGTGGATAGCAAACGTGGACTGAAGCGTTGAGAGTGGAGCGTGTCTGATCCGACCAGTAAGAGTTTTGTAACGGGCTGGAACAGCTTCCCTTTCTTTGCCTCTAGGGGCGCTGTTCCAACTCCATACAAATTTGTGTTAACTTTCAATTTCAAATTCCAAATTGCGGTAAAGTTAAAAAACTCGCACTAAGCCGTCGGTGAAGTCAGAATAAATGTACATTATTAAGGATAACTTAAAAACCACTGGTCGCGTTAAACTAGCACCTCTGGGCCTTCTTCCGTGTACCTTGCTTGTTACCATGAATGTTTTTTGTCCAACAGGTTTTACGATGAGTGCAAAAGGAGGTATAACATTAAACTATGGAAGACGTTCACAGACTGCTTCAACTGCCTTCCCGTTGCGGCGATAGGTGAGTGACATTATTTATTGCACTTTTAGGTCTTTTTTTCTACCTAAGCTGATGCCCACTGAGCTTCTCGCCGGATCATCTCAGTGGGTCGCGTTTCCGATCCGGTGGTATATTCTGCTGATTTGTGTTGCTGGGGTTAGTGTTAGCAACTTCGTCAGGTTTGAGCCGCGTGAGCTCACTTACTTGTTAGGTTACGCTAACATAGCCTCACAAGGCTATCAGTTTAGGTAGGAAAAAAAGTCACTAGAGTATACTACTTTGGCTAATACATGTAACAGATAAGAATGATGACTTGATAAAGCAATATGAAGTGTTTTTGATCAACGTTACAATGAACCTTTAAAGACCGCAGATGAAAACATTGATAAATTTTTTCGGAGTCGCAAAATTACTTATTAGTTTAATCTTCCGCTTATTATAGTTAATTTAATATTTCTAACGTTTTGAAAACTAATTTCGTGATTAAAGACGACTAAGCATAAATATGTTATACAATACAAGAACTAGAGGAACTTAGGAACTTAGAGGAAATTAATGAAGTTATACAAATGTAAAAATACAATGGAGGAAAGTCCTCGAATGGAGGCCACGGATGGGTACAAGGAGCGTGGGGCGTCCTCCAACCAGGTGGACTGACGACTTAGTGCGCACGGCGGGAAGTCGTTGGATGCGGAAGGCGGAGGACCGTATTATGTGGAAGACATTGGGGAAGGCCTATGTCCAGCAGTGGGCAGATAAAGGCTGATGATGATGATACAAATGTCTCGATGTATACTATCCGTTTTTTCGTTCCCAAGGTCTCTTTACCTTGAAACGTTCACACGACTACCTCATATTCCTGGATCTCTCTTGACCTTTCTAAAACAATAGCATTTAATCGAATTTTTCTGAGGTCGAGATTCTCTGTTCTTGTCTCGAGTGCTTTTGAAGTAGTACCCTCCTATGTACTTCAATTGGAATTGGATTCTTCTTTGTACACGTTGTTTGGATCAAATAACGTGTTTTGTGTGGAAGATCGATTGTTTAGTTGATTTGTTTGCAGCAAATCGATCATCATAAATATCTCGACTTTATCGATTACAGAATATTATGATTTATTTTTAGTAATTGATATGAAACATCTATAGCACGTAAAATTAATGCTAGCGCCGGGATTGTTTCTTAATATTATTAGTTTATTTTTCAATATGCCACATGAATTTCTTGTCGTAAACTATCATTTTATGTACAGAATAATATCAATGTTTCATATCTGCGCTAGCCTTCCCGCGATGACTCATTGTTCCTAAGTATGTCTAGTAATATCCTCCGAGTAAGTTCGAATGAGTTTACAAGTCGTCTTCCATATTATGGTATATTTGTATCCTATTAGTATTAATGCCATAAAGTCTCGGGAATTCATAAGAAAAACCGCACAAATTAGATACCGGATTGTTTTGGAATCGCAACCGAAATATTAACAATATTTTGTGTATTTTATCGAATTAAATCAGAAATTTCGTAAGGTCTATGCTTTCAATTCAATTATACTACATTACGACGGTTCTGTTTTAGTTCACGGAACATTGTGTTCGTCGATTGATCCAATTAAGCGCTCGCTGTACCGTGATGTTGAAGCTGCGGTTCTCATACGTTAATTTATTAGTCGAGGTTTCAGTGGAGCCCCGACACAAGGCTTTTGATCTTTTTGAAGGGTAGTCTAATACACGCCGTGCTCGGTGTGAGATAGGCTACCAAAAGACAATTCTGGATAATATTTCATCTAAATTTCGTGGGTGTTAAGTACTTTGTACTAAATAATAAGATTTGACGGTAGTTTGGTCAATTTTCTAAAGCCTTGTTTGTAAGAATCCTCACAAATTTTTTTTGCAAGTGAAGACAGACGCTGCCCTGCCTTCCGTTCCTTTCCGACCTACCAACACAAACAGCTGATGACGTGTAACCCCAACAATATATATTTTAAGGGTTAGTCCTTGCAATTACTAAAAAATTCATAGTCTGAAGAACAAGTTGCTAGTTTGATGAATATATCACAACCACTGCTGAGACTTTAGTCACCATTCATTACTCTTCATAAAAAAAAAATCTGAACTAAATATACGGAAATATTCTTAAAAAAAATATCATATTTTTAATTGGACCTCAAAATTGACGCTCACGTAATCCGGCTGCATGTCTAAAGATAAAATTCTTATCTGTCATTTTCGGAATTTATCGTTCGATAAATTATTATAAACTGCGTTTCTTCATTGTTCTATTGTAGAAAACCTTGTAGGTGACGTCAAACTACTTGTTCGCTCATTGGCTACCAATTGAGGCTGATTAATCTTGATGAAGATTGAAAGCGGCCTGGGTTTCGTTTACAGTACACAATTAGCGTGATTCAAATATCACCGATTCTTTTGCGCAACAATAGGGCTATTATTGTCTGTTGTGTGGTGCTGCATGATGATATAGTAATTATTTAAGAGCTCGCGATCCTTCTGACCGAAGTTGAGTGGGGAACACCCCGTACATATCAAAACAAAGAATGGCTTAAAGTCTTGAAGGCTTTTGAAGTCGTCGTGGCCTAAAGAATAAGACGTCCGGTGCATTCGTATCTAGCGATGTACCGGTATTCGAATCCCGCAGGCGGGTACCAATTTTTCTAATGAAATATGTACGTACGTACTTAACAAATGTTCACGATTGACTTCCACGGTGAAGGAATAACATAGTGTAAAAATCAAACCCGCAAAATTATAATTTGCGTAATTATTGGTGGTAGGACCTCTTGTGAGTCTGCTCGGGTAGGTACCACCGCCCTGCCTATTTCTGCCATGAAGCAGTAATGCGTTTCGGTTTGAAGGGTGGGGCCGCTGTTGTAACTATAAGCTTAGAACTTATATGTCAAGGTAGGTGGTGGCATTTACCTTGTCGATGTCTATGGGCTCCGGTAACCGCTTAACACCAGGTGGGCCGTAAGCACGTCCACCCACCTAAGCAATAAATAAAAAGTTCCTCTGCGTAGCTTGAAACATATCAAAATATCTTGTGCATTGGAATATTGAACATCTTTATCAAACTCTTGATTGCTTTGCTGCATAAATAGACAGCACTCCCAACCCTTGCAGTATTTTGAGTCTAAAGATCTGTGACTTTTCACGGGTCTTTTAGATGCAATGAAAAGAATTAAATTAAAAAAAAGAATTTAACGGCCGTCTGGTGTAGTGGTAAGTGACATGGTCACTACACTAGGGGGTCGCGGGTTCGAATCCCGCCAAGGGAAGATATTTGTATGATAAATATAAATGTCTTTTCCAGGGTTATGGATGTATATTAAATATATGTACGTGTATAATATAAATCTTACATTTATTTCCGTTATCTGGTACCTGTAACACAAGTTGGCGTCATGGTTAGTAAATATATATTTATTTATTAAAAAAAAAATACTCGTAGTACTTGAAGAAAAAATGTTAGTATTCATTAACTTGCCAATCTTTTCGCGCAAATATCACGTTACGCGGATCGCGTATCACTGGACACCGTAATCGCGTAAATAAATATGAATAGTTCGTTACTCGGCCTGCAGCCAAGGTCGTGCTAGGGCTGCCAACTTTTTATCACTTAATGAATTTAATTTTTTTTTTTTTTCAGAGTACATATATCATAAAATATAATATATGTAAACTCTATTTACATAATAATACCATATATTTTGAGATTAACTTAGTCGTAACAGTATCAAATCGAATGTTAATGTTTACGAAAATTGATAAATAATATTTTTTATGAAACACTTGACCAAAATTTGACACTGATTTCTACAACGGACGGCAGAAACAAAGGTACCATTTCTATATTTTCGTAGAAAAATAAATAAATGAAATAATTTCTGTATTTGTTAATACAGGTAGGGCTCCGCAGCCCTAGGTCGATACATAAGTTTGTTTTGCAGACGCGCCGAAACCACGTGCCTGCTCTGTTCAACAGAATTTCTTTTCCGCGTAATGTCTGCAGAATATATATATTTTAGTGTTGCATTAAATTCGATCGAACTAGTTTTGTTTATCTTGTTCAGTTTTTTATAGAGACTAGAGGTCCCGCAGTAGTCGAAATTCGACTATAATTAATTGGAATTGTAAGTTTGTACACTATTATGATTGTATTTTATACTTCTATAATCACTAATTTCGCCAAGACTACACTATAAAAAATATTAACAAAGGCAAACAATATTTAATCTATTCTCAATTTGACAACATACGTCAAGAACAAAAGTTTGACAATAAATAGTATGCATGCGTGTATGCGTCAAATACATGGTATGTAGTGTGTGTAATGTTTTCTTTATTGATTTAATGTATCTTTTATGCATTATTTTTAAAAAAATATTAGCATTGTGCACTTCTTCTCTATATTCTCTATAAATGTGGAAAATTTCATACTCCTCCGTCCGTGCAATTTTCGTAAAAAGGGATACAAAGTTTTTGCTTCACGTATTAATATATAGATTATTTTTAACTTCGGAACGTAATAAAACTCAAAAAATTAATATTATAATTAACGTATCACTGGCTAGGTGTGGAAGAATATGTTCAACATACTGGTGTACTAGAAATAGATCAGAAGATAGCAAACTAAACAAATAAGTAGTTGCATGTCGTGTATTGAATTTTGGAAGCAGCTTAAGATTGACAATGGGATCTAAATATAAATTGTAATAAGTTTTTAATCAATACTAAATAATTGTGAGGTCGTGGCCTAAAGGATAAGACGCCCGGGTGCGTTTGTATCTATCGATGCGACTGTGCCAGTGTTCAAAACTCACAGGAAGGTCCCAATTTTTTTAATAAAATACGTACTTAACAAATATTCACGAACTACTTTCACGGTTAAGGAACAACACGTCGTATTTATTAAATACTAGCTGACCCGGCAGACTTCGTAGTGCCTCAATCTATAAATAAAAGACCTAAACTTTTGTATAAAATAAACTTAAAACAAACAAAAGGAAT